TTTTTCGAAAAATATCAAAAATCGTGGAAAGATCTTGCATTTGTTGATTGGTTGGTAGATCGTCACTCTCCCCACCCTATAGTACATGATTGGTGAGGAAAGTTGTGCGGGGAGATTCGCGCGAATCTCCCCCCACCTTTTTTTTTTCGAAAAAATGTCGAGAATTGTGGAAAGATATTGCATTTGTTGAATGGTTGGTAAATCGTCACTCTCCCCGCCCTATAATATGTGATTGGTGGGGAAAGTAGGTGGTGGGAGATTCCCCCACCTTATTTTTTTTCAAAAAATGACAAAAATTGTGGAAATATCTTGCATTTGTTGAATGGTTGGTAGATCTCCACTCTCCCCACCTTATAGCATATGATTGGTGGGGAAAGTAGGTGGGGGGAGATTCGCCCACTTTTTTTTTTTTCGAAAAAAATGTCGAAAATCGTGGAAAGATATTGCATTTGTTGAATGGTTGGTAAATCGTCACTCTCCCCACCCTATAGTACATGATTGGTGGGGAAAGTAGGCGGGGGAAGGTTCGTGAATCCTCCCCCACCTTATTTTTTTCGAAAAATAACGAAAATTGTAAAAAGATCTTGCATTTGTTGAATGGTTGGCAGATCTCCACTCTCCCCACCCTGTAGCACATGATTGGTGCGGAAAGTAGGTGGGGTTCTCCCCACTTTTTTTTTTTCGAAAAATGACGAAAATGTTAGATATAATCATAGGTTGGCATATCGTCACTTTCCCCAACCTATAGTGGATGATTGACGGGGAAAGTAGGTGGGGGGAGATTCACGAATCTTCCCCCACCTTTTTTTTTTTTTAAATGGCAAAAATGTTTGATATGGTCATTGGTTCGTAGGTCGTCACTTTCCCCACCCTGTACTAGACGATTGGTGGGGACAGTAGCTGGGGGGAGATTCGACCCAACCTTTTTTTTTTCGAAAAATATCAAAAATCGTGGAAAGATCTTGAATTTGTTGAATGGTTGGTAGATCGTCACTCTCCCCACCCTATAGTACATGATTGGTGGAGAAACTAGGTGGACGGAGATTCGTGAATCTCCCCCCACCCTTTTTTTTTTGAAAAATGGTGAAAATGTTTTATATGTTCATTGGTTGGTAGATCGTCACTTTCCCCACCCTATAGTGAATGATTGGTGGGGAAAGTAGGTGGGGGGGAGATTCGCCTCCACCATTTTCTTTTCGAAAAAATGTCGAAAATCGTGGAAAGATATTGCATTTGTTGAATGGTTGGTAAGGCGTCACTCTCCCCACCCTATAGTACATGATTGGTGGGGAAAGCAGGTAGGGGAGATTCGCGAATCTCCCCCCAGCTTTTGATTTCCGAAAAATGACAAAAATTTTTGATGTGTTCATTGGTTGGTAGATCGTCACTTTCCCCACCCTATAGTGGATGATTGGTGGGGATAGTAGGTGGGGGGAGATTCGCGGATCTCCCCCCACCTTTTTTTTTTCGAAAAATGTCAAAAATCGTGGAAAGATCTTGCATTTGTTCAATGGTTGGTAGATCGTCACTCCCCTCACCCTATAGTACATGATTGGTGAGGAAAGTAGGTGGGGGAAGATTCGCGAATCTCCCCCCACCTTTGTTTTTTCAAAAAATGACGAAAATGTTCGATATGTCCATAGGTTGGTAGATCGCCAGTTTCCCCACCCTATAGTGGATGATTGGTGAGGAAAATAGGTAGGGTCCCTCCACCTTTTTTTTTCGAAAAATTGCGAAAATGTTTGATATATTCATTGGTTGGTAGATAGTCACTTTCCCCACCCAATAGTGGATGATTGGCGGGGAAAGTAGGTGGGGGGACCCTACCTACTTTCCCCATCCTATAGTACGAGATTCGTGAATCTCCCCCTACCTTTTTTTTAATTTTTAATGGCGAAAATGTTTGATATGGTCATTGGTTCGTAGATCGTCACTTTCCCCACCCTATAGTAGATGATTGGTGAGCAAAATAGGTGGGGGGGACCCCACCTTTTTTTTTTTTTTTTCAATGTCAAAAATTGTGGAAAGATCTTGCATTTGTTGAATGGTTGGTAGATCTCCACTCTCCCCACCTGTAGTACATGATTGGTGGGGAAAGTAGGTGGGGAATCTCCCCTCAACTGTTTTTTTTTCGAAAAATGTCAAAAATGTTTGATATAATCATACGTTGGTAGATCGTCACTTTCCCCACCCTATAGTAAATGATTGGTGGGGAAAGTAGGTGGGCGGAGATTCGCGAATCTCCCCCAACCTTATTTTTTTCGAAAAATGGCGAAAATGTTTGATATAATTATAGGTTGTTAGATCGTCACTTTCCCCACCCTATAGTAGATGATTGGTGACGAAAGTACGTGGGAGGAGATTTGCGAATCTCCCCCCACCTTTTTTTTTCGAAAAATGTCAAAAGTTGTGAAAATATCTTGCATTTGTTCAATGGTTGGTAGATCGTCACTCTCCCCACCCTATAGTAAAGGAATGGTGGGGAAAGTATGTGGGGGGAGATTTGCGAATCTCCCCCCAACTTTTTTTTTTTCGAAAAAGGGAAAAATGTTTGATATGTTCATTGGTTGGTAGATCGTTACTTTCCCCACCCTATATTGGAGCGGAAGTAGGTGGGGGAAGTTTCGCGAATCTCCTCCCACCTTTTTTTATTTCTGAAAAATAGGCAAATATGTTTCGTTTGTTAATTGTTTGGTAGATCATCACTCTCCCCACCCGATCGAAAACGCCGTACCCCCTCCGGTTCTTGGAGAGGGGAGGGATCGGGGTACGGCATACCCCCTCCGGTCCTCGAAGAGAGGAGGTAAATATATTTTCGAAAACGCCGTACCCCCTCCGGTTCTCGGAGAGAGGAGGGATCGGTGTACTGCGTTTTCGGAACGCCGTACCCCCTCGACCATGTCCACATACAGGGCCGAGGGGGTACGACGTTTCGAAAACACCGTACCCCCTCCGATCCTCGGAGAGGGGAGGGAGTGGGGGTACAACGTTTTTTAAGTTCGTACCCCGGCCCCGTAGTTGAACAGGGCCGAGGGGTGCGACGTTCAAAAAACGCCGCAGCCCCGATCCCTCCCGTCTCCGAGAAGCGGAGGGGGGTACAACGTTTTTGAAACGCTTGTTCCCCTCGGCCCTGTCTGTGGAGAGGGTCGAGAGGGTACAACGTTTCGAAAACGTCATACCCCCTCCTGTTACCGGGCATAGGAGGGACCGGGGTGCGGCGTTCTTGAAACGTCGTTCCCCTTCCTTTTACCTCCCCGTAATCAGAGGGGGTACGGTGTTTTCGAAACGCCTTACCCCCTCGACCCTGACCGCATACATGGCCGAGGGGGAACCGCGTTTATAAAACACCGTGCCCCCTCCAGTTCTCGGAGAGCGGAGGGAGCGGGGGTACGACGTTTTAGGAATGTCGTACCCCCGGTACTCTCCCTCCCGTCTCCTAGACCCGGAGAGGGTACGGCGTTCTCAAAACGCCGTATCCCATCGACCCTGACCACAGACAGGGCCGAGGGGGTACGGCGTTTTGCGAACGCCGTACCCCCTCCGGTTCTAGGAGACAGGAGGGAGTGGGGTACGACGTTCTCAAAACGCCGTACCCTGGCCCCGTACGTGGACAGGGCCGACGAGTGCGGCGTTTCGAGAACGTCGTACCCCAGCTCCTTCCCTGTCCGAGAACCGGAGAGGGTACGACATTCTCGAAACGCCGTACCCCCTCGACCCTGTCCACAGACAGGGCCGAGAGACAGGGCCGAGGGGGTACCCCCTCCGGTTCTAGGAGACGGGAGAGAGCGGGGGTACGGCGTTCTCGAAACGCCGTACCCTGGCCCCGTACGTGGACAGGGCCGACGAGTGCGGAGTTTCGAGAACGTCGTACCCCAGCTCCTTCCCTGTCTGAGAACCGGAGGGGGACAACCAGTATGTGGGCATTGCTGCGCCCCTCTTTCCAATGTCCAAATACGTAGAAGGCATATATCGGGCGAAGCTCGAATGCGCCCGCGACTTACGTGAGGCGATAGTGAAAGGTTTGATATCTGAATGCGATCCGTTCTTCTGTTTGGAATGTGCCTACCGTCAGGAGGAACATTTGCTGTCCCGGAGAAGAGAGTGTATAACACCTGCACAATCTATAGAGATAGGGAGTGGGCCCTCGATTGGGGGGGGGGGCTACACGAGGCGGGATGTGGGGCCGCTATGTTTCTGAAAAACGGCCCGGGTGACGACTGGTTCTGTGTTGGAGGGATTATTAAATCCGAGGATGAGAGGATGGATGGGCACGGACGGAAGTTCAGGAGGTTTTTCCTCACCAAGGTGTTCGACGAAAAAGGAGTGGACCATGCGAAGGTCGACCATAAAGTCAGCCTTGATTACAATTTGTTCAAGGGGTATGGCGCTAAGGCTATTACCATGAAAACCTTCGATGTGTCCCCGAAAGAAGACGGGAGTGTGTTGACGATGCTTGGCCCCGTGAAATTCCTCGTCAAAACGAACGGGTACAGGAGATCCGGAAACAGTCCCACGGTAGAGGCCGGGCATCGTATGTCCCCGACATTCGTGCCTTTTGACACGCCGGACGAGGATCTCCCCGGTATAGCAATGACAGAGAGACAGAGGACGCCACATTGTTTTCCAACGCAGCAAACATCAGCGAGTGGAAGCCGGCGCCGCAACAAACAGAGCCAGCTGCATCGTCCGCCAGACGAAGAGGACCGTGGTCCTCCTGTGGGTTCGTCTCGCCGGAGGAATGCGCTGGACCGTCTCAGGCGTCCAGCCGGTAAGACGAAGGCACCCCTGTTATCACATACAAAAGGAAGGCCATGGCAACTCCTCCCTCTCCCACTCGCCAGAAGGACGAAGGTGGTGCATCGAGGAAGGCGGCGCTACGGGAGATAAGCGAAGGATCGGATGAGAAAACGAAGGAAGATCCTAGGATTTGTGTTGGTTGACATCTACAGGGTAATCATGTCGTCGGCGATGAGGAATGTGGTGTTGACGAGGACGATGTCGAAGAGGAGAAAAGCGAAAGGGAGAGAGAGAGAGAGGATCGTGAGGAATCTATGCACGACTACGAGGGTGGGGAGTCTCAACAGTACTATGAGGAGGACGACGGGGGCGATGGAGAAAATGATGATGCCTATCCTGTCGTTGATGAGGATGGACGACAAGAATGGTCGGTTGATGTGGAGGTCGACGACGCAACAGGAGAGCGGTCGGAGGCCAGTGTCCTGAAAAGGAAGCGAGAATCTTTAACAAGTCCAACAACGGCGGCGGATAAGCGCCCTGCGAAGGAACTCACTCTTGCTGCATCTCAACAGGCGCTTAGAGCTTCTGAAGAGGCGGTCGCTGAAAGCGTGAAGAAACAAAAAGGGTCTTTGTCAACCAGGGCGACAAAAGCGAAGAAACGTTCACCGAAAAGAAACCAGATGGTTGATGAGGGTGACTCTAGAGAGGATGCCGAAGGGGTTCCTCCAGAGTTGTGTCGGAAAAGACACAACCTTCCGCCAACACCCATGATGAAGCCATCGACACAACACGGTGCTTCTTCTTGGAGTTCGATGAAGATGGGCTTGCGAAGAAAAAACGGGAATACATTGAAGTGGATGTCACTAAGATCTTGCCAATCCCTGGAGATGACATTCTCTTCAACCATAGAACGTTGGACGAAATGTTGGTGCAGTCCATATATGATGCGATCCATAATGCGGCCAAGGAAACCAACGGGAAGTGGGATTTCATGACTTTCATCCTGGCTCCCATTGTGCCCAACAGGGACGGGTCTCAAGGCAGACGGATCACACCGGAGCAATTCGACGTCGAACTAGCTCATACATACAACTGGTATGCTGTTGCTGGCCAGCACACGACTGAGGCAATGAACAGACTCATTACAGACAAGTCACCGGACGAGAAAGTGTATGGCTTGAGGTCATACTCTCACGTACGTGTTGTCTACTTTGACGATGACACAAAGAGAGGATATCCGTACGTCTCGACGTTCGACAACACGAGGGAGGAGCGTTCCATCCCGATATCGTTTTTGTCATCTGTGCGGCAAATGAGAACATTTTGGGATAAGAGGAATGACCGGATCCATCCGCCAGGCACGGTGTCCCCGAATGACGTCGAGGGAATGAAACAGAAAAAGAAATGGGAAGCATTCATGAACGCCGCCTGCAAAATCACACCCGATTCCAGTCTCATGAACTCGTCCCTGAAGAACGACTACTGCAAGGACTGGACGAACAAGATGCGCGGATACATGAATCTTGCGCAGTGCAGCGAGACGGTACGGCCACTAGTACAGAAATTCTTTGACATGTACGAGAAGGGGTTATTGCCGTGAGTCGACGGTGTGAGATACATCGACCTGCCGGGGAAAGTGAAAGGGAGGCTGCCTGGGCAATACCAGAGTTCGCAACTGGGATTTTGAAGAGTATCTGTACCTGACCTAACCACACCCTCTTTGAGAACCAACCACCCATACCCACTGTATACCTGGCCTGCCAGACCTTTACCCATCTCCACCTGCTAAGAAGAAGAAAAAATTGTACCCAGACCTACCCTACTTGAACCTCTTCAGCATGTAACTGGCCATACCTACCCATGAGCATTTTTTTTCAAAACCACCCATAACCACCTGAACCCAAGCCGTTTGTTAACCACCCATACCCTACCCTACCCAAGTTTTTTTTACCTGTACCCACCCGTACCTACCCATAATTGTATGCACCCACCAGCAACCACCCGTGTTCATCACCCACCCTCCTATAACCGCCCATAACCGCCTCTTACTATCCCTAACCACACCTAACTTTT